CACGAGAGGAGACTACCAACCTTTCTTTAGAGGAGCAGCTGGTGGATTCAAACCTCCTAGCTTTGAGTTGGCATCACAGCTCTTTACCCACTAGGCCAACCAGAGCCTCAAAGCTCAAAAACTCCCTGCCAGATGTGGAACAAACTGATAGCTGACCCTCCAACAGGTTTTCAGAGGCAATAAGGACACAGGTGGAAATTGTCTTGCTCCTGGAGAGCAATTGTATTTGAACTGGCCACCCTTGGGTTGTCAGTGCAACTCCTTACTCACAAGGTCGCTAGAGCTCACTGAATAGTGCCTGGCACATAGTATCTAGAAACCAAACCGACTACTTTTGGGTGAATGATGACTCATGGTGACCCTTCATGGAGTTCTGAGAGTGTAAATCTTAATAGGAGCAGACTGACTTCACCTCACTGTTCTCCCAGAGCAGCCCGTGGATTCCAGGCGCTGAGCTCTCCATTCACAACCAACACGTACCGCCCACCAGGGCTCCTTGGCACATAATAAAGTGCTCAATAAATATTAGCTATGATGGCTTGGCCATCTATGGCTGGTCAACAGTGGAATTCATTTTGAAACAGCCACTCAATTCATCATGCTGCCTTGTCCGACTGCAGCTTTGGATCCCTGGGACAGAACTCCAGCCTTCAGCCAGAACGTCTGTAAAAGGTCCCGGAGGGGCTCTATTCTGATTTCAACTGTTCCTGGCTCAAATGCACAGAACGCTGTTTAAAGCAGCTTTGACATATGCCTAATGTGCTGTTTCTTTTACAAAGGGGGGGGGGGCAAAATTCGTTTAACTGATATTCTGACCACAGTGCTTTTATGACTTTTCCTCTCTTAAAATGTACTTTTTTGAAAACTGGCGGTTCCCTCACATTTTGAAATGCCAAGGCAATGCAGGCGCTACTAATACTGACACCTCGTGGCCACCTTCGAGAACTGCATGATCAAATTACCCACAGAGAAACAATCTTCAAGATATTTAGCTCATTGGAAGGTTAATAAATCCTGACCTTTCGACAGCAGCTGTAACCAGGAGATAGATTGGAGTTCTTGTCTACTCTGTCTTTGTCTTCCCTGTGATGTTAATACATCCCTTCCGGACCTCAGACACATTGCTATTGAAAGGGGATCATAGCTGACCCTCCAGCGAGTTTCAGAGGATGTAAGTCGCTAAAATAGACACTTCCCATTTTTTCTCCCGTGTTACTGCTGATGTACTCAAAACACAGAGTGTCTTCATCTTTGGGTTAGCAGCGTAACTCCCTACAACTCCTACCTATGACTGTTTCAAAAACCAGTTGTTGAGAAACATCTGGCTCATAATGACCCCACAAGTGTCACAGTAGCGCTGCATGCCATAGATTCTCAATGTCTTGTTTGGGTGAGGGGGCAGCAGGTTGCTGGAGAAGAGTATTGAACATACCATGGTGCCCAAAAAAATGACCTCTCCAGGTCTGGCCTAGAGAGAGTGAAACCAGATTGCTGGTCTTGGAGACAAGGATTATCATGCTTGGATGATAATGAGTGGATGGTCAGCACAGGAGAGAAAGACCCTGGATGACATTGATTGACACAAGGTCTGTGGCAAGGGGGTCAGGTGTCTTAGAGACAGTGAGATTGGTTCAGGATAGGGTGAGGTTCAGAGCTATTGTTCACAGGGTCACTATGGGTCGTAGGTGACTCAATGGTACGTTAACAGATTGCCAGGCCTTTCTTCAACAACACTTCTGGGAGGCCCTGAACCTCCAACGTGTTGTTCAGCAGCTGAGAGTTTCAATCATTGTCACCATCTAAAGACTCCTAAAAAATGGCCCAGTAAGGCCAAATCAGATTTGAGTCCTATAAGTTCTGACATTCTATGACTCTGTTCCTGCCTTTCCAGTAAAAACAAAACAAACAAACAAACAAACAAACAAACACAAACTTATTGCAGTGGAGTCAGAAGTCACTCCTAGCTGACCCTCCAATGGGTTTTCAGAGGCTGTAAATCACATGGGAGAAGACTGCCCATCTTTATTCCATGGAGCCGGTTGTAGGTTCAAATTGCCAGAGAAATACTGCCTCTAGGTTAACTATGCCAGAACTCCTTGCCTTTTAATTAAGTGTAAAAAAAAAAAAACACCAATGCTGCCCATTATTATCTTTAGTTTAATATATTCGTTTTAAAAAATATGTGTGTGTGTGTGTGTGTGTGTGTGTACCGTCGAATCGGATCCGAATGCTACAGGAGGAGATCATTTTAATATACACTTGAAGATGCCCGTTTGGCTTACAACATAATATGTTGGCCTGATAACCAAAAGGTAGGTGATTCAAATCCACCAGCAGTTCCCTAGGGCACGGGGAAGATGAGTCCTCTCCACCCTATAAAATACGCGAAGGGGTGTCACCATGAGAACCAACTTAGACCTAACAGCAGTGGGTCATGGGATACTTGAAGTCTTTTACACTATTAGTCCAAGCCCTTTACCCATTTTTCTAACAAGATGTTTCTCATTTTCTCTTTCACTTGTAATAACTATTTACATGCTAACCTTTGTTACGATATAAGTAGTTGCTTCTTAGAAATTGGACCCAGCCTTTCCCCCCCGGCCCCAGGCTCTTCTTGTGCCAAAGGGAACTCTGGTGGCCTAGCTGGTAGGGAGATTTCTATTGCCAATCTTAAGGCGAGCAGTTCAAATCCACGAGCTGCACCTTGGAACAAAGATGGGTAATTTCCTCTTGTGTGACTTAGAGCCTCTGAAACCCTGTCAACTCAGTGACAAGGCATTTCTTTTGAGTCTTATGCCAAATTTCCATGAGAATGGAATTTATATTGCATTCCTTTCAAATGATGAATAGTTATCAATTGTAATTCTTTAAAAGGTAAAAAAATAAGGTAATAATTTTTTATAAAAGTTCCACACCCCATTAAGAATCAGTAGGTTTATTTTATATTTCTTTTAACTAGCATTTTCTAGTTACAGGGTACTGCAACTAATGTGCCAGTTTCAAAAAATAAAGTGGAAGTGAAGGAGTGTGAAATTTAAAAATAAGAAGTTCCTGGTCAACAAACAACAATGCCTCTTACCTGATAAACAATGTCTGCCTGGACGCTTGTGCTCAGGGATGGTTTATCTGTAGAGAATCAAATCGACAACAGCAACTCAGAATACTGTGCTGGAAACCTAGAGGCAGTGATTTTACGTTTAGAGGGAAGAACAACTCGAAAAAAATGAGGTGAGAAGGTTGCACAACTCCAACGATGGGACCAGTGGGACTGAATTGTACAGATGGAGGCTGTCGGGCTGATGTATATGCACAGTGCTGTATCTCCATGGCAATAACCAACAGAGAGTAAGTTTTAAAAAGAAGGGGAAGTTACTGGTCACAGAGGCTCTGATTAATGAAATTTATAAAATAAACAATTAGATGCTTATAAGATAGAAAAATGACTCGACAAAGAAAACTAATCTGAAAGAAGGGCATCATTGAAAGATATCATCTGAAAGCTGGACTGAGTAGTATCTTCCAAAAAAACCACACATCTATATAGAGATATCATGTAGAAGCTATATAATATCACGATAACCTTGATAAGTATTTCAAGATAATAAAGGGTGGGATGCAACACCCCTGGGCCCTAAGAGAGACTTACCCTAAAAGAAACTTACTGTCTTTAAGTTTGAACCAAATCATATCTGACCTTTCACTGGATTTTCAGGCTGGAAACTGCCAATGTGGAGACTGCATCATTTCTCTCATTGCTGCAGGAGGATTCAAACCACCTGAGAGGCATGACCTTTGGGTTAGCAGAACAACTTCCTGTGCAACCCAACACCAGAGCTCCCCATCACAACCTTCAGCACATGTAAAGGGAGATCTCCTAGGGAGTGGCGTGTAATAACCTTTAATCTAGGAAGATTAAAGGGAGCTCTGCTAACTTAGTGGTAAGGAATTGTCTACCAACCCAAAGGCATGTGGTGCAATCCACCAGTGGCTCCACAGGAAATAGATAGGTAATCTTTTCCCATGTGATTTACAGCCTCTGAAATCCTGCTGGTGGGTCAACTATGGTTCAGTTCTGACTCAACGTTACAGAGCAACAAGTAAGAGGGATCGCTAACCCTAAGGCTATATCTCTCTGTTTAATCCATCCACAGTTCTGCTAGAAAAAAGATGGGCAATCTCCCCCCATGTGATTTACAGCCTCAGCAAGCCACTGGAGGATCAGCTATGAGGCAATGAGAAAGGAAAAACAAAGGAGGAAAGCAAGCTGAGAGGTGAGACCCTTAGTATCACCAAGAAATAATGGCTGAGAGTGGTGTGTGCCCTTGGGGATTCAGGCCCCTGTGTAAAGAAGCTCCTTGACTCTGGGGAGGTCAGGGGTCCTGGGGAATCTCCATAGAGCACATGGCTACAGACACTGCAGGAAACAAGGACTTTCCTCCAGAATGAACAGAGAGCAGCCTGTCCAGAGAGCTGGCACCCTGAAGTTGTACTTCTAGCCTCTTAAATTGTAAGGCAATAATCTGCTGTTTGCTAAAGCCATCCCCACTTGTGGCTGTGTTACAGGCCAGTTGTAGACAGCAAAGACACTATATCGTCATGATTTCTTAAATAGGTTGTAGATTCAAAGGATGAAAAGTGACATAAAAACTTCAATATCATTCTGATAGATTAATAAATGAGTACAACTCTAAAAAGGAACAAAAAAAAAATCTCTGTACAAACTGGTCCTGTGAAGGATCTAAGTCGAGGAAGAGTTTGGTTTTCAGAATTTGGCCATTGACAAAGCATCGTCAGCCACCTTCAAACACCAATTCTGAGAATTCCCTGCAGCTGCTATTTTTTTTTTTTTAGTTTAGATGTCCAACACCAATTCTATAATATTCAGATAGATTTGTTTTACTACATAGTACAGAGGCCTCTAAATTTTATTTAGAATAAATAGCCTAATGCCTGCCCAAGATGGTTAATTGCTTGTGACATTAAAGTTGATGGAAGTTGACTCAAGTGCAAGCGTCTGGCATATTATCACTGCACTCTAATCCCATGGCTTGCTCTGTGGCGCTGGTGTCCTCTGCTCGGGGTTTGGGCAGGTCCAGCATGGTGGGTGAGTCCTTCCTGGGATTCCCAGTGACCAGCATCCAGTGATTCTTTGGTTTTTCCACTTTGTGTGAATCCAGATGTGTGTGAGCTGCGACTTCAACTTCCTTTCCGAAATAGGTACTGGGGCAGGAAAGAATTAAAAAAAAAACAAACAAACACAAAAAACAGTAACACTGGTTGTAAATTTCATAACAACACGATGAGCTGTTCATTTCATCCACAAAGACTCTTAGAGGGGCAGACCACTAAGGAAAGTCTTTGAGGGTCTGTAAAATCCTACTTGTTGACAGGTACATTTTCTCCTGTTTAGGTAAGGGGACTCAGGAGGGGGCGGCATCCACAGAGAGTTGAGCTGCTCGTCCAAAGCAGCCGTGGTGTTCCAATTCACTAGCAGCCCCTCAGAGAAAAGACAGGCAACCTCAGTGTGGGGGTTTACAATTTCTGGTCTTGGGAATTTACAATTTCTAGTCCTGGGAAACCAGGTGGAAGGCGAGCTATGAGTCATTTCTGATTTGAAGGCAATGAGAAGAATGAGAAGTTAGACAAGGATTACGCAGGTAAGGAAAAAAAAAATCCCTCCAATAAAACCATTGTCCTTGAGTTAATTCTAACTCATGACAAGACTGTATGTCAGTATAGTACTCAATGGGATCCCAGTTGGGTTTGTTGGGGTTTTTTTAATCTTTTATTTTATACTGGTTTGCTTACAAGTTTGTATACACTGTTTTTCACACTGGACCTTTCCCATTTCCTTAACCCACACTTCCATCTACCCACCAAATTATGCGACCCTATGATTATCCCCGGACCATCCTCACCTCTCTGCTCCTACCCTCCCCCCTTGGATCCTCCTACTCATTTTACTAGTTATCTTTCTATTTCTACAATAATGGTCTTATACAGTATTTGTCCTTGTGAGACTGAGTTAGTTCACTTAGCATAATGCTCTCCAGTCTCTCCCCAATTGGATTTTTTATTGTAGTACCCTATTGGGTTTTCAGTGACTGGTTTGTTTGGGGTTTTTTTCTGATGGAGATCACCAGGCCTTTCTTCTGAGGGACTTGTGGGTCGACTCAAACCTCCAACCTTTCCTTTTGCAGTACAGCATATTAAATAATCTAGAGTAGGATATGATTACAGATTATAAATTCTCTTATAGAGAAAGGACTTATAGAATGATTCTAATACAATTGTTCACACCATCAAAGCTTTGCATGATGATAGTTCCCAATCAGAGCTGTCTTTCTCATGATGCAATCTTGAAATGGAGCTTCTCTGCTTTTATGAGTCCCAGCCCCACCAGGGGTGCCTTCCTCTACCACACCATACCTTACGAAAAGATGCCGGTGGGCCGCCAGGCCCCGATTTGTGTGGCAGTGACTGATGAGGATCTTTGTATTGGCCTTGAAAGACAAAGAAAATACATGATTTACATCTCAAATAAAGTCCTCCAGTTTCCTAAAAAGAAAACTTCGGAAAATACTAAATATTAACGTGCATTTAATTTCAATGTTGTTATTTACCGTCAAGTCAGAACTGACCCAGAGATGACTTTGCAGCAGGTTGTCAGAGGCAGTTAGTCACCCAGGAGGAGACTGCCCATCTTTCTCCCACCAAGTAGCTAGCTGGTGGATTTAAACAGCATGTCTTCAGGATTTTAAATTTAGTGTTATTTAGGGTGTTTTTTTTTTTTTTTTAATTTTAAAAAGAAAGTTTGAGGAGGGGGATAACCCAGAAGTCAAGCCACAATCTATCTCTCTGTCTCTGTCTGTCTCTGCCTCTTTGTCTCATCATGGAATCAGTACCAAGTCATAGCAGACTTTCCCCCGTGTTTATAAACCTCACAAGAGGAAACTGTCCCTTTCCCTCTGTGGCACTGTTGGTGGATGTCACTTGCCATAAAGAGGTAGACTTTGAGTTAACAGCACAACTTCCTATCTAATCCATTTCTAGAGAGATCTCTTGGTCTTCTGATAAGAGGCTGCCCTGCAATCCCAAAGACATGTAGTTTGAATCCATCAGTTGCTCCAAGGAAGAAGGATGGGCCATTTTCTCCCATGCCATTTACTACCTCTGAAAACCCACTGAAGGGTCAGCTATGGATCAGTTCTGACTCCAACACACAACAACATCCATTCCTAACCAATATAAATGGTTGCTGCTGCTTTATGGCAAGAGGCTGCACTGCAATCCCGAAGGCACACGGTTCGAGGCCACCAGCTGCCCCATGGGAGAAGGATAGGCAATCTCTTCCCATGCAATTAACTGCCTCTGAAAACTCCCCAGAGGGTCAGCTATGAGTCAGTTCTGACTCTATGGTGCACAACAACAACTAGTGGTGTAGTATAGTGGCAAAGTATGCTTTTTATTTTTCTGCCAATCAGAAAGTTAGCAGTTCAAATCTACCATCTGCTCTGAGGGAGAAAGACAGGCCATCTCCTCCCATAAGAACCTACAGCCTCAAAACCGCATTGGTTTCTTTAGGGTGTTCTCCTAATCGTGGAATTGTTGGGTCCAATGGTATTTCTATTTCCAACTTTTTGAGAAAACACTGTATCGCCTTCCATAGTGGTTGCACCATTTTACATTCCCACCAGCAGTGAAGAAGGGTTCCAATCTTTCTACAACCTTGCCAGCATTTGTTGTTTGCTGCTCTGTTGAACTTTGCTATTGTTACTGGGGCAGAGCTGCCATCCAAGCAGATGTATTCACACCCATGTATATTGCTGCATTATTCACAATAGCAAAGAGATGGAAGCAGCCCAAGTGCCCGTCAACAAATGAATGGTATATTCACACAATGGAATACTACATAGCACTTAAAAACAAGGAACTCATAAAATATTACACAACACGATTGACCCTGGAGGACATTATGCTGAGTGAAATATCTCAGTCACAAAAGGATACATAACTGCACTGTTATAAAAGAGGACTGGTGTGAGGGTTGGGGGGAAACTAAGAAAAGAGGGGATAAATAATGTATACTGCATTGGAACAGATAAAGGAAAGAACTATTTTAAAGGCATATATAATTAGGCATTATCTGTATAACCACCATCCAAAATAAGAGTTGCATAGCAAAGAGGATTGGAGGTTGGGGAAGCGAAGAAATTATGCAACAATGAGTGAATTTTTTTTAAGTTAATTTGGGGGACAGGGAGGAAAATGTGCAACAATGAATGAATGGAAATCAAAGTTTTGTAAACTTTCGTTAAAACTTCAATTAAAAAAAATTCTGTTTAATGTTGACCACTAAAAAAAAAAAAAAAATAAGAACAGACAATGGACTTTTCTCCAGTGGAACTTCTGGTAGATTTGAACTGCCAAACTTTCAGTTGGTGTTTAACCACTGTGCCACCAAGTTTCCTCTTTAGAGGTCCCATGTCACAGATGTGCAACCATGTAGAGTGAGGCTCAGCGCAACCCACACTAGACCTTTGAGTAAGTTAGCAATGCTGCTGGGATCTAGCTCACTGCTCCACTTAGAACAAGAATAAACCAAAATGGTAATCAGCACCTGTGAGTACTCCTGGTGAGCCAAGCTCTTTCCTCGTAAGCACTGGAAGTGTGTTAGTGCTATATTGTTGCTGTTGTTGAGTACTGACTGATAAATGATCCTCCAGCGAGTTTTTAGGAGACAGGAAATTGCACGGGAGATTGCCCATCTCTCTCTTGAAGCAGATGGTGGATTTGAATCTCCTGCCTTTTGGGTTAGTAGCACAACCTCTTACCACTATGCCAATTCTCACATAATGTCATATTACCAGTTACCAGTTGCCATCAGCTCATATAAGTTTAAGCTAAAAAATTTGGTTCTTGAAAACCATCTGCTTTGTGGCATTTTGTAACAACAGTGCCAGGAAACCCAAATGGGTCATCTCCCCGGCAGTTTACTGCCTCTTAAAAACCCCCTGCAGGATCACTTATCAATCAGCAGCACCAACAATAACACACTTCTACCGTTTATGAGGAACAAGCTTGGCTCACAGGAAGTACTCACTCACAGGGGTTGATTATTTCGTTTATTCTTGTTGTTATTATTATTTCTGTTCAAGGTTGATGGTTTTCAACCTGGCCAATTAAGTATACAGGGCTTTGGCCTCAATATTTCAAAAATCTCCTTAAAGCAATCGCTGTGGGTTTGACTCTTGCTCACGGAGACCTCACATGCGTCAGAGGAGCACTGGACTCCACGACAGGGACCGGTTTTTGGAAAGAGATCACCAGCCTTTTCCTTCAGATGCCCCTGGATAGACTTAAACCTCAAGGCTTTTCATTACCAGGCGAGGACATTAACTGTTCCCTCCAAGGAAGAGCTTTTCTAATCTCCCTAGATGATTGTCACGTGCAATCAAAGCTGAGGAAAACCAACACAGGCTGCTGTTACAGAGCAAAATGCACCCTCCAGACATGGCTAGCAAAGGAGAGAGATAATTTCCGTTACGATAAGTCTCATCTCATCAATATGGACAGAAGCCCATGTCACCCAGTTGATAGCACTGGCTGCCATGCCAGCCCTATTCCAGGCTCACCGGAACGGGAAAGCCTTCATATTCCAGGCGCATTTGCGGATCAAGGCAGGCCGCCTGCCAGCAGCTCAGGTAGGAGAGCTCGTCCGTCAGGTACACGTCCTGCAGCCACGACTTCTTAGATGACCTCAGAAGGGTCCGATGGTCACTTGTCAAATACAACTGCAAATGACAGCAAGCAGATACACTATGTCACAGCGATTTGAAAACACAAAATACAATCCACTGGATGTATGGCAAGTAGTTTGCAAAACTCTGTTCTTACTGATTATATGTTGTTGTTGTTGTTGTTGTTGATTGCCTTCGAGTCGAGCATGACTCACAGCAACCCTATGAACAAAAGTCCTGAAGCTCCTCTACAACTATTGACATTTATCAACATTCATAGAGTTTCAGGAGGCATGTTATTTAGGAAGTGGATGCCACTCCTGCTTCCAAACCTGTCATAGTATGTTAATGTTGTTATGTGCCATTGAGTCACCTGTGATGTACAGTGACCCTATGTACAGCAGTTCTGAACCCTGCCCTGTCCTGAGACAGTCTCACTAACTCCCACACACCAACCCGCATTGCCCTAGTTACTTATCAAGCCATCTCATCCAGCGTCTTCCTCACCTGTGCTGTCCATCCACCCTTTGGAGCATGATGTCTTTCTCCAAGAACCAATCTCTCCTGGCCACGTACCCAAAGTATGTAAGGCAGAGCTTCAAAATCCTAGCCTCCAAGGAGAAACTTGGTTTCACCCTCTCCAAGACAGACCTATTTGTTTTCTTGGCAGAAGACTTTTCTCCAGCACCACAACTCAAAGGCATAGATTCTTCCTCTTTCATCCTTAGTCATTGTCCAACTCTTTAAAGCATAACAAGTAATTGAGAAGACCATGGCCTGGATTAGGTGCACCTCTCTATCTAGACTGACATCGTTGATCTTCAGCATTCTGGAGAGGTTCATGACAACAGATTTCCCCAGTGCAATTCGTCTTTTGTTTTCCTGGCTGTTGGTGTTAAGAGTGTTGACTGTGGATCCGAGCAAGCTGTAACTGCTAACAACCTCAATCTCTTCATCTATCATGGTGCTGCCAACTGGCCCAGTGGTGAGAATTTTTTGTCTTCTTGATGTTGAGCTTCAATCCATACTGAAGACTATAGTCCTTGGCCTTTTGCAGCAAGTGCTTCAGATCTTCTTCTCACATACCAGAGAAGCGCACCATCCTATCCTTCGCCATCCTCACACAGGAGAGCAGCACCCCGTCCTCTCTTGTGCCATCAACACACTCCCTGACACACTATAGCAGCACCCCGTATTCTTCTCTACCATCCTTACATTCCCTCACACAGGAGAGCAGTGTTGCATCCACCTTTGTGCCATCCTTACCCTGCTCCCATGAGAGCAGCACCCTGTCCTCACCTGTGTCATATTCACACATAGACACACTAGGGTAGAACCACGTCCTCTCCTGGGACATCCTCACTCTCCCTAACACACTGCAGCAGCACCCTGTATTCCCCTGTGCCATCCTCACACTCCCTCACACAGGAGAGCAGGGCCTCGTCCTCTCCTGTGTCATATGCAAACCCCCCACATGAGAGCAGCACCCCGTCCTCTCCTGGGCCATCTTCACACTCCCTCACTTTTTCAGCAAGCAAGGTTGTGTCATCTGCATACTGTAGGTTGTTAATGAGTCCTTCTGCAATCTTGAAGCCACACTCCTCAACGTTCAATTTCCCTCTTACTTAGAAATGTTGTCTTAGACTACAGAGACCACCTCTTCTGCCTTCTTCTTAAACTCTTTCCAGATAGTTCTCTCCTTTTCTCAATACCAAACTCAGTCTTCTTCCTTCTCAAATCCCTCCTCCCCCTTTTCTTCAGGGCAGAGAATCTATATCCTTATTGGGGGAGGGGGGCTGTGGGGGGTTTTGTACTGTTGTTGATAGATGATGTGAAGCTAACTAAAACTCATGGTGACCCTGTGGACAACAGATAGGAACCCTGCCCTATCTTTTGCCACCCAAAAAATTGACTCCATCCCTGGGGAGCTTGGTGGCATACCGGGCAAGGAGTGGTGCATTGAGTTAATTCTGACTCACTAGCACATATTAACAACAAACTACCTGGACAATTGACTAGAAGAGATCCATATTTATTCCCATTGCAAAAAAAGGTGATCCAACAGAGCATGGAAATTATCAAACAATATCACAAATATCACTTGCAAGCAAAATCCTGCTGATGAATTAACCAAAAATGATTAGGACAGTACATTGACAAGAAATTACCAGAAATACAAGCTGGGTTTAGAAGAGGCCGTGGTACTGGGAATATAATTACCAATATCAGATGGAGCTTGGCTAAAAGCAAGAAGAACTACCAGAAGAATGTCTATTTGTGTTTGACTAGGCAAAGGCAAATGACTATGTGGATCACAACAAATTGTGGCTAACATTGAGAAGAATGGGAATTCCAGAATACTTGATTGTGCTCCTTGGGGAGGCTTTATTTTATGAGGAGAAATGTGACATCAGGATTGGAGGAAGACCCATCAACAACTTGCTTTATGCATATGACACAACTTTGCTTGCTGAAACTGAAGAAGACCCGAAGCATTTGCTACAGAAGGTCAAGGACTACAGTCTTCAATATGAATAGAAGCTCAACATCAAGAAAACAAAGATTCTCACCACTGGACCAGTTGATAGCACTATAATGGATGGAAGAAAAATTGAGAGTGTTAACAATTTCAGCTTGCTTGGCTCCACAATCAACATTCTTGGCACCAGCAGTCAGGAAATCAAAGACTAGTTGCATTGGGAAAAATCTGCTGTCAGGGACTCTACAGAGTGCTGAAGAGCAACAATGTTAGTCTAGATACTAAGGTGCATCTGATCTAGGCCACGGTCTTCACAATTTCTTGCTATGCATCAGAAAGCTGGACAATGACTAAGGATGACAGAAGAAGAATGATCGATGCCTTTGAGTTGTGGTGCTGGAGGAGTGTATTGAGCATACCATGAACCACCAAGAGAACAAACAAGTCTGTTCTGGAGAGAGTGAAGCCAAGCTGCTCCTCAAAGCCAAGGATTTTGAAGCTTTGTCTGACACACTTTGGGCATGTAGCCAGGAGAGATCAGTCCTTAAAGAAGGACATCGTGTTTGGAAGGGTGGAGGGTCAGCGCAGAAGAGGAAGACTCTGGATTAGATGGATTGGGACAGTAGTATTGAGGTAATAAGAGCAGGTGTGTCAGAGATAGTGCGATTGGCTCAGGAGGACAGGGCATGGTTCAGAGCTATTGTACATAGGGTCACTATGAGTGCCAGTCAACTCAATGGTACATAACAACAAACCCCCAAATTGTTCTCTTTCTTACTCTTGAGAAGACCCACTGTCTGCTTCTCTGACAGTGAACTCTGCTCAGTAAACTTCTTTCTTCTTTCCTCTCAGTAATTGTTCCTTATTTAACTGGCATTCATGTGTCTGTGGTGACCTCCTATCGAGAAAATTTGCTAGCTTTCTCTGAGGCATTCGAGCCTGGGCATCTTCCACCCTGAGGCCGGAACCTCCCAAAAACACAAGGAAGCAAAGCTGACGGGTTCCAAGTAGACATGCAAAGCTACAACTCACGATTTTGTCTTCACATCCTCCCATTATGCCAAGGCAGAAGTTCTCCCCATATCTAAGGACTTGACTGACGGCTTTCCTGTGCATACTGCCAGTGAAGAATAAGTACAAATATAAAATAATGTCTATATAAATATTTTAAAAAGTTTAAAAATAGCTTCTAAATTGGAATCATTCCACACCTCCACCTTTCGTATTTGCAAATCTGTTTACACTCAGTGTTATTGCTTAAGTATCTTCACGTGCCATAATGAAACGAAATGTTCTAATAAAAGAGATTTTATCTTGGCCTTACAATCCATCCAGCGGCCCTTTCCCACTGCAGCCAGAGCACACATTATAGCTGCTTTGTGAGCATTTGTCCAGAGTGGACTGAGCTCTACCCCACACAATGGAATTCTGGTCAAGTGCATTTGGCAGTTTTAAAGAAAATCAAAAGGAACCCTAGTGGCACAAAGCGTTAAGCACTCAGCTGCTAACCAAATCCTTCAGTCACTCTGAAAAGGAAAAGATCTAAAGTTTTGTGCCTATAAAGATTACAGCCTAGTCAGGACAAATCTTGTAGCAATTCTTCAGGAGAAACATGGGTAGCATCCTCCTGTGTGATTCACAGCTTCTGGAAGGCTGCTGGAGAGGCAGCTATCAGTTGATCTCAACGTGACAGCAGCGAGAGTCAGAGATACAGCAGCGAAAGAAAAACATGAGAGTAAGATGTATGTAAACAGACACTCAGCACAGTCTTCTAAGTATCAAGGAAACCAATTTTTAATTTTTTATCACAAATGTCTGTATTCAAAATAAACTTAAATGCAGTGAGTTTCTTCAAACTTTAAAGGACTAGCTATATAAACACTGTAATATAAACACTGCTATCATAAACTACCAAAGTGAAAGTAATGGCCTTCCACTGAACACTAGATACGTATCTGTTCTCTAAGGACTTAAGTACTCATTTTCAAAATGACCTTATGTCCTTCCCCCCCCCAAAAAGCAATTAATTTTAAAAAAATATTAAAATGCTTTGAATTGAAATAGCCAAGTTTTCTACAAAGCTAACATCAAACTTAAAGCATTCTGAGATATTATGAAAACTGGCTACATTACTCCCAGGCAAAATATTAATTTAATTCCCTAGATCCAATAGCTGTAAGTCAAGTATTTTTAATTAAACACAAGTGGCTATTGTTTATCATATAGTATAAGAAAGCAGAATTGTAAAAACCCCTTGATTATAATCCTCAAGGTCAGAAAACAAGATTAGAATCATGGAGAATTCTTTACCTTTGCCTTGAATCAGCCTGGCTCCCATCAAAGCAACAGAACATCCTTCAAATGCAAATAGAAATTGATATTGACAACGCAAACAAGTTAAAAATCAAGTGTTTCTACCTCAGAACCATAAAGGTGTTTCTGCTGACTGAGTTGCTGAGTGGCGCTGCGCTCAGGCCACAGGGCACCTCCAGTTGGTCTCTCAGGTGGGTTGTCATTTCGTCCGGAGTCATACAGAGACTCAGGTTCCCAGCCAGAAACACGTCGACTTCTTCCTCGGGATAGTCAGGATTCACCAGTATCACTTTGTCGCCATAGTGAATGTATCCATCCTTCGATACAGAAAGCTGCATCTGCAAAATGAAAAAAAATTTTTTTTTCCAAATAAACCATGCAATTCCCTGGCAGACAGTATCGCGACCTCTCCCAGCTATAGCGCCTTCTCTGACTGGGCCCATTTCCCTAAGGAATATGCTCGGATGCCCCCACATCTTTTGTTTCCTTGTTTCTCCAGCCTCTGCCCACTCTGCCAAATCTCAGGCCAGAGGAAACCCACGGCTGTTGTGCCGATTTGGACACGTAGTAACTCTGTGAATAGAATTCTTTCAAAGGCTGAAAATCTTTACAAGATCAGACCAGCATGTCATTCTCCCTCAGAGTAATTGATGAATTCAAATCGCCGGTCTTTTAGTTGGCCGATGCTGAATCTGCTGCACCACCACAGCTCCTTTTCATTGCCAAGGTCATGGTCAACCTGTTGCTTTCAAGTTGATTACAAGCCATGGTGACCCTGTGAGTATGAGAATTGTGCTCCAGGGGGTTTCCAAAGGCTGATTGTTCCAGACCTTTCTGATAAGAGGATTCAAACAGCCAGCTTTTCAGTTGTAACCAGAAGAACTAGCCAGGAAGTCCTTAACAAGGCAAAGCCAAGCACAAGGGAGCTCTGGTGGCCTAGTAGCAAAATGCTGAGGTGCAAACCCAAAGGCTTATGTTTTGAACCCACCGGCAGCTCCAAGGATGAGCAATCTCCTCCTGTATGATTTACAGCATCTGAAAAACCACTGGAGGGTCAGTTATGGGTCAATCCCAACTCAACCGCACACAACAACAACAACAATGATCTCAGTAAGTCAAGCCAAACTTCAGCAAATCATTATGCATTATGCTTATGCATTATGAACCTATTTATTTCTAATTTGTCGAATACTTTTGAGCACTGACACTTATTAACTTATTAATTCATGTATTTCTTTATCTGAAAAATATACATAGACATGGTAGCCTAGTGGCAAGAAGCTGAGTTACAATCCCAAAGGCAAGTGGATTGAGGCCACCAGCTGCTCCATGGGAGAAGGATGGGCAATCTCCTCCCATGCAATTAACTGCCTCTGAAAACCTCCCAGAGGGTTGGCTATGGGTCGGTTCAGACTCTGGTACACAACAACAACAATTTGAAAAACGTATGTAGATAGTGCCTCTTATATTTTTAAAATTTTGAGGGCTTGTAAATGTTTGTGGCTTTCACAGTTTTTAAACTATTCTTTTCCATATGAACCCGCATGTAAGGAACTTTTGTTCCCTTAGTAGATGTTCACCCTTAATTCTACATTATTTTGAACTTTGAAAGCAATGTTGAGATTTCAAGTTACCTGCTTCAAAAGGCTCCCTTTCAGTCTTCTGTTCTTCTGTATGAGAAGTTCCCCCTTATCTCTCTTCTCCAAGAAGTCTTTCATGAGTTCCTGGATAAAGAAAAACCAAACCCAACCCCAAAGGTCAGTAACAGTCCTGAATAATAGTGCAGGTAAAGGCTGGTAAGAAGGCTTCAGGTCAGAGCCACCTCAGGTTCAAAGTGCAAAATTTGAGAACAGAAAAAAAGAACAAAAAACAGTATGAGCATAACAAGAATGTTTTTTTTAAAGCCCAGTATTTTAATGTGGATTTTTTTTTTTTTCATTGTCAACTATTTGGGGACATAAGAATAGTGAAATAAAGGAAGGTAAGATCTGATCCTGTGATAATTATTCACACTGGCAATGACCTCCATTGAGTAACCTTGACTCTAAGTCTTTATGGGAGGAGAGCAGAGCAGCTGGTGGATTGGAACCATTGACCTACAGCACCAGCACTCCAATCAAAGGCAATCATGCCAAAGAGCTGGAGGGCATCTGTCCCCTGCTGAGGGCTTCCCTGATTGTGTGATGGTGACTGACACTAGAAAGTCCACCCACCCAAGTTGGGCTTGCTCCACAAAACAATGAGCACAAAAGTATTTTATTGCGCTTCACAGTGTAGGTTTTGTATTGTATAAAGTTCGGTAGTAAACCTACGTGCAGCAAGTTTATCACCACCATTGTCGCCAACAGCATGCACTTAATTTGTGTCTCCGTGTCACATTTTGGTAATAGTCACAATATTTCAAACGTTTGCATAATGTTGCTGCACATTTAACAGATACTCTTCTCAAAGCTCATTGCCAACTTTTGCAGGATGGTGAGTAATACACGCTGGAGAGGATGAGGAGAGATCAGAACTCTCACACTGTTGGTGGGATTGTAAAACAGTACACCAACTCTGGAAGGCAGTTTGACTTTTCCTCAAAAAGCTAAACGTAGACATTCCATATGATCCAGCCATTCCACTGCTTGAAATATATATATCCTGAGGGAATGAGAACTAAGGCACAAATGAAGACTTGTTACATCAGTGTTCATAGCAGTATTATTCACCATTTCAAGAATGTGGAAATGGACTAAAAAATTATGGTACATTCAATGATGGAAAACTATGCAGCACGCAGGAGCAATGATTTTTTTAAATTACTGCCTAACTTGGGAGGGATTGGAGAGCATTATGCTAAGTGAACTAACTCAGTCCCATAAGGATAAATATTGTATAAGACCATTATTGTAGAATGAGTATGAAGATCCAAGGCGGAAGGTGGAAACAGAGGGGTAAGGCGAGGGGACGGTTAATCATAGAGTCACACAATTTGATGGGGGAGGGAGGTAGGGGTAAGGAAATGGGAAAGAACCAATGTGAAAATGTATACGAACTTTGTAAGTAAACCAGTATAAAATAAAATTTTATAACAAATAAAACTCATTGCCACTGAGTTGGAACTGACTCCTAGCTGACCCTCCAGTGAGTTTTCAAGTCTGTATGTAAATCACAAAGAGACCACATCTTTCCCTGGAGGAGCTGCTGGAGGATTTGAACTACCAAAGAGTGTCCGCCTTTGCGTTAGAAGGGGGACTCCCCATAAACTTGCCTCTAGAGCTCTCTTACAGACTCCAGTGTTAGATCATAATTTGTTGTATCATAATTTATATGCAGTGGAAATTTTTAAAAAAACAAACACCTTTACAGTCTGGTTTGTTCAAATACATGTCTTATTTCACTAGTCTAGCACTGAACCTGTCGAGTTTCAAGGTATGCCTGTATAATGCCAGGAAAAGAAGTGCTCTGGAGGGAACTGGAGCACTGTGCATAGTGCTTCCTTTGATTTGAGTCTCTGCGCTGCAGCTGTGATAGAAGAAACAGGAAGAATTGAGCCCACTAAATCTACTCTGAGGGGAGATCCCTGGGTAGAGCAAAAAGGTTTGCACTTGATGGCTACCCTAAAAGGAACCCGGCCCCCTGGCAGCAGAGAAGAAAGGCCTGGTGATCTGCTTTCATGAAGAATGCAAGCAAGAAAAGTCTGTTCAGGATCGCCTGGATAGGCATGTCAGACTAAAAAGGAGGCCCGAGCTGGGCGGCGCCTGGAAGTGAAGGCAGGGACGGGCAGAGTGTAAGGATGCTCAGAGTAGAAAGGGCAAGAGAGCTGAGTGTGCAGGACAGCAAGTGCGAGTCGTAGAGAGTTGAGACAGGGATGGGAAGTCAGGGATAGTTCATACTTTCTATACTCAAAGGACAGAGCTTAGCAGTTCCCTGAGTGCCCGGCGACTGCGAATCTGGGGAAAGTCCACCGGGCTCAACGTGCATGGTCAGCGCCCAGCCCGCCCTCTGTACCTCCTCAAGGTAGACGTCCTCATTCCAGTTGCCTATCCGGACTCCTGGCCCATACAAGTTCTGAGCCATGGCCCCCTCCTCTCTGGCAAGCCGGTCTCTTTACCACAATAGTTTACTTTAGCGTTGCCGTCGCCATGACGACCAGGCCCTACGCGATTGGTTAAGGTCAGGGTCTACGGACCAATGAGTGACAGCACTCAGTCTGCAGCCCCCGCAGCTGCCTTCCAAAGCTTCCATTTCTTTGAATTGCAAAGCAGGTGAGGAGAGAAACTCAGCAAGCCGACCTCGGGTTTCCTGATGAGGATGAGGAGAAATACTTTTGTGCTTTGCTTTTTGGAACCAACCCACGGCTGACCAGCTTTCCTCCAGCGGGTTTGCAGAGGCATTTTAATCACACCGGAGGAGATTGTCCATAACGTCTCCTGCGGAGCAGCTGATGGATTTGAACTTCAAACCTTCGAGATTGCAGTGCAGGTTCCTTACCACTAGTCCACCAGAGCTCTTTTGTACTTCGGAGTTGGATTTCCTCTTTTTTTTTTATTTAATTTCTTTATTTTTCATTTCAGTGAACATCTACAGAGATTTTGGAATTCCATTCATTCATTGTTGCAAGATTTCTTCTTTTTAATAACAAGAGAAGCTGACCCAGTGACTTGAACAACGGGCTGGAACGTATCAGAGATTGTGATGGACAGGTCAGGGAAGGGCAAGGTTCAGTTCTCCTGTTCACAGGATTGATATGAGTCTTCGTGACTGAAACTCTCCAACTATTATGGAGATAGAAAGAAAGAGAAAGAGATGTGGCAGTCTGCCAGAGAGCAAACCCAAGCTACTGCCCTCAGGTCAACCTCAGCCCCAGGCGTCCCCCATGGGGTTTCTGAAGCTTTAAATCTTTTCAGGAGATTGTCCTGTTTTCTCCCACGGAGTTAGTACTGACCTTTTGGTGAGCAGCCCAACACACACCGCAGGACAGCTCAGAAGTCCTATAGCGCCATTCTACTCAGCCTCCCAGGCGCGCTGAGAGTCAGAATCCTCTGAATGTACACCAGTGGGTTTGGGGTTATGGTTTTCCTTAATCTGTAGGCAGTTGTGCTGCTAACCCACAGGTGCCTCCTCTCTGGAGGTTCGAAACCACCAGCAGTTCTGCAAGAGAAAGACGGCCAATCTTCTGTTGTGCCATTTACAGTCTTCAAAACCCCGCTGGAGGCTCAGCTATGACGCGGTTCAGGCTCAGATGCATTTTGTGTCAGTTTTTCGGGGTGGTTTTGTTTTTTAACGTGAAACAAATAGCTCGCACCCCACGTGTGTCCACGTGTAATTAGGCTCCTTAACATTACAGCTCTCTCGGCTCCACAATCAACACTCTTGGCACCAGCAGTCAGGAAATCAAAAGGCTAATTACATTAGGTAAATCTGCTGTCAGTGACCTCTCCAGAGTACTGAGAAGCAAAGATGTCAGTCTAGAGACAAAGGTGAGCCAGATCCAGGCCATGGTCTTCGCATTTACTTACAGTGCATCAGAGAACTGAATAATGACTAAGAATCGTAGAAGAATAGATGTCTTTGAGTTGTGGTGTTGGAGAAGTCTTGCCCATACATAGACTGAAAAAAGAACAAATTGGTGTGTCTTAGAGAGGGTGAAACCAAGCTTCTCGTTGAAGGCTAAGATTTTGAAGCTTCACCTCACATACTTTGGACACGAGGCCAGGAGAGACCTGTCCTTGGAGAAGGATATCATGCTCGGAAGGGTGGACGGACAGCGCAAGAAAGGAAGACCCTGCATGAGATGGATTGATACAGCAACTGTGGCAATGGGGGTTGTTGTGTTGGAGTCCGTGAGAGGGGCTCAGGACAGGGCAGGCTTCAGAGCTGCTGTACAACATATAAATTATTGTATGCAAACCAATTAAAAAATGAAGAGGCAAAAACTATGCCAGGAAGAATATACAGAATGCAGAATGAACTAAAAATAGGAGCATTCCTAGATATTTGGGATTCCACTGCCTCTATCCATGCAAGGACAAATGGTAAAAAGAAGGTATATTAAACATTACATCACCAACTGCACTGGTGGCCGAGTGGTAAGAAGCAGAGCTGCATTCCCAAAGGCACACAGTTCAAATCCTCTATCTCCTCCTTAGGAGAAGGATGGGCAATCTCCTCCTGGACAATGTACTACTACTGTACATGCCCTGGAAGACTAGTTTTGGGTCTGTTACAACTCAAAGGCACACATTAACAACTGCACTTTATAAATTAAACTGAAACTCAAAAAAGCTAGAAGCTTGATGTTCAAACTACAAAAAGCTGCACCTGACATTCTAATCTCAAAATCCATGAGGGATTTTCCCCCTTTAAAGTGTTTGCCTTAAATATTAAGACTAAAACAAGGCAAATTTGGTCTCCGTTATTGTTTTGTAAAGTTCTAATGGCTCAGTGACCTAATGGGTAAGGAGTTGTGTTGCCAACCCAAAGGTAGGTGGTTTGAAACCACCAGCTGTTCCATGGAGAAAGATAAGCAATCTCTTCTCATGCAAGAAAGAATGACTCAGACATTAGCAAGAAAAGAAAAATACCATGAATAAAAATAGGAAAAGCATGAGAAACACTATGTTCCCAGCAGAAATATATCCCCGAACTTTCAGGAAACCAGATCCAATCTTAAGGAGGCCCAGTGTATAGAGTGGTGTGAGCTGCACTGCTAAAAGGAAGGTCAGCAGTTCAAATCCATGAACTGCTCCTCAGGAGAAAGATGAGAAGTCTCTGCACATAAGTAGATCTAGTCTCAGAAACCTGATTGGGGGGGGGCGGGGGAGGGGGTAGTCACCATGAGTCAGAATCAACTCAGAGCAGTCAGAACTCAACCCTGGAAATTCAATATAGAGCAATTGAGAATGCCAAGGTGGAAGGAATAAGAATCATGAGTACGGATTACAACAGTAGAAACCACTCAACTTCTAAATCCTAAACCATCCCCTACTCACTGTCTATTTAGATGCATTTAAAAAAAAGTTATAATAAAGAAAATTCCACAGCTCTGAAGAAAAAATAAAGAGGAAAACTAAATAAAACTCTTAAATGGATAGACTAAATCTTTGTCTACATAATTTTTAATTTGCCACATTACAGTTTGAAACCCCTGGTTAAAATAAAATTCTAGACTTTATGACTTCAGAAATGTAGAAATAGGTAGACATGGAAGCATTTCATACACTGAAGGGACAGGTTAGAAGATTAATTCTCTTTGACGTGCTTCACTCTATCCATCTGAATTTAAAAGCGTAATAACCATGGAAGCGTTCTGACAGCTACGCAGTCACTAAGACATTTCCAGTCACATCCAGCAAAGTTAAGAAGCAAACCAGTTCCAGGAACACTCCCAAAGATGTGAGATGAGTTAAGTACAGAGACACATTCACACCAACAGTCAACTTTTCCAGTTTCCTAATCTGATGGGAAAAGAAAGGATGGGCCCTCAATTCACAAAGGAGGAAACTGAAACACAGCGAGGTTATGGGAAAAGTCTAATCCACATCAGAGCCAGAACTAAACCCCACACAAGACTGTGGGAATGAGGAGAAAGAGAGAAAGAAGATTAGAAGACAGACAGGACCCGTGTTCTGACAGCGTTCAAGGCCTGGGGCCGCTTTCCCACCCATTGTTTCATGTGGATGTTACCATTACAAGACCTTGGAAAGCAGCTCTGAGCTACTTTTCTGGTTTTTTTTTTCTGTTCGAATTCCAGAACTAACCAGTCACTAGCTGTATACCTCCCCGCCAAAGTCACAACTGCCTGTGCTTCATTTTCTCCATCCGTAAAATGGCAAAACAGTGATGCTTTTTTCATGTAGTTCCTGCTTTGTATAAGAAAGACGATGCTTTAGCTCTCTCTACATGGTGCCTGGGACATGGTATCCTTACTCTGTTGTTGTTTTTGTTGTTGCTGTTGTGTATCGTTGAGTCAGAACCCATCCATAGCTGACCTCCAGTGGGCTTTCAGAGGCAGTAATGACACAGGAGATTGCCCATCCTTCTCCCACAGAGCAGCTGGTGGATTTGAGCCACATGCCTTCAGGATTACAGTGCAACTTCTTACCACTAAGCCACCAGAGATCTATAAACATATGTGTTATGCATCTATATCACTCAAGTCACTCATGTCACTTATTAGTATGACAGGACTGACATCAGGAGTGACTTCAGCAAGAAATTTTTTGTTTGAGATTTATAAGTCTGAATTATTGTACAAACAGGAAAGTGAAGGTCCAACAAAGTGACAAGAGTCACTAAGAGTCGTCTAAGGCCAGATAATCATCATGGGCAGAGCTGGAGCCAAAACACATTAATTCCTCATTCCTAGAATACAGGAGCTGGAATAGAAAGTGGGCCCTCAGTGTTCACAAAGTCACACCAGTGATACAATATCTGGAACAATTATTTACAAGAAACAATTTTTTCTTTTTTAATTACATACGTTGTTATGTACCACTGACTCAGAACAGACCCATAGCTGACCCTCCGGCAGGTTTTCACAGGCTATAAATTCCATGGGAGGAGGAGATTTTCTGCCTTTTTCCGTGGAGCAGCTCCTGGATTCAAACCATGTGTCTTTGGGAGGGGAGACACAACTCCTTACCACCAAGCCATCAGAGCTCCCTCCATTAGATTTCTGAGACTATAAATCTTAATTATAGGAAACTGCCTATTTTTTCCCCCTAGGAGCATCTGTTGGATTTGAACTCATTGACTTTTAGTCAGAAAATCAACATGCTACAGGCGTCCAGGTGCCATCTGTGCACCTGGATGCCTTCAGACCAGTCTGTAACTTTAGGCTGAGTAGCAGTGAATTCAGGAGCAGGGGCGGTCCATTCTCCCTGAAACTCCTCCTTGGTCACAGCCTTTTCAGCAGCAGCCTGCTCTTCCTTTCCAATCTCTTCCGGATCTCTGTAGAAGTACAGACCAGGCATAACCTCCCACGGAGGCTCCTGGGAGATTGTGCCACGCATGCGCAGGACTTCCCGGGCCAGCATCCACCACATCAGACAGACCCACGGAGTGAGCTCCCTTGTTGCACGGCATAGCAA